GCGGTCGCAGCCTAAAATTTTGGAGGGGGTCACTAATAATAAAATATGTCGAGTAAATTAGACTTTATTGCACAATAAACAAATTGGAAGTAAACAAACGGGTGATATTATTTGAGACGTCTGGGGCTATCTCTCGATGAATATTTAGAAGAGTTAAACCTGTCAGCCTCTCTTCTAACATATTTACTCTCAGCCAAGTTTTTGCAAGTCTTAGCGTATGAAAATGGTATCTCCGATGTCGCACCGCTAATAGAAAGAGTTGCCAGAATTTTCAGCAGTCTTTATATTTGTGTAAAGATCATCGTCGCAAACTTCGATTGTAGAAACCTCACACTTAGAAAATTTTGTATCAGTATTTTCTTTCAGCTCCCGTTTCCAGTTTGAAAACCATAGCTGATACTCTTGTAACTTGAGTGGCAGCAGGTACACTCAAGAAATGGAAATAATATTCTGATACTTTCTTCACATGAAGATATTCTTCTGTATATTCAGATTTTGGCATAAAAATGCCTAATCCAAACAGGTTCATCGTATCTGCAGAAAGTCGGTCCTGTAGGTCAGTCATTATGCTATCTATCAGTGCAATATATACAGTCCTCCGAAAATATACCTCGTCATTTCTTGGATAATTGTCTGTCATGTCGCGAAGTCTCAGTAATTTTTAGAAGATTTTTAAATTTGACGTGTATGATTGTGGGTGGAAAGGGTGGGGGGGGGGGTCGTCATGTGAACCCCCCCCCTCCCTTTGCACTGCGGCTGCAACTAGTTTTATTGTATGCATAGGACTGTGTGGACTTATACTTGGACAGAGGTCAACCCCTGCGTATAGCTACTCCTATCCGATCCTCCGGTGGCCCGTCCAGTGGATAGATAATTACAGATGGTATAATAATACATAGTTCTAATTTTTGCCATAACTATTGAATAAAATATTGTTCCAATATTGTTATAGGTAGTCAATTTGTTATGTAGCTACTGGCATTTACAGTAAGTAGTTGAACAAGAGATTATTTTTATATTGTAGTTTTATTTTTTACGCACTTTCGCATTTACAGGTCGCAGTTGAAGATCGTCAGGTAGATTAAAGTTACCATGTCAGACCATGACTATTTAGACCTTACAAAATTATACTCTCCTAATTTTATACAACATATTAGGGATTGGCAAAAGAGATTTGTTTTTTCAAATTTAAATCATTTAATAAAAGCGCTCTTAGTTTATCACTTGCTGTTAGTGTGATATTTCCAGTTAACACGATCATTAGTGTCAATCTTAAGTAACAATTAGTCATGGTGGAGCATGTTGTAGCTATATTATGGTTGTAGCTTGTACGGGTCAGCTCGAGCGCGGACTGACCATGCTCTCACAGAATTACAGCAGCAGGTGCTGCTGTTTTGTATGGTAAGTGTAGAGAAATGGAGACCCTTTTTACTGGAAACTAGTGACAGGTAGTTGGGATGTTTTTCGTTAACATAGCGAAACCGTTGGTTTTTGTTTGTCAACTAGTTGACGTGTTAACTAATGACACGCCGCGGCAGTAAACGAATTCAAACTTATGTTTTCATTCATCATCATCATTACAGCCCTTCACAAGTCCACTGCTGAACATTGTCCTCCCTCAAGGAATGCAACAAAGCACGGTCCTGAGTCACCTGCATACATCGACTTCCTGCATGCTGGTTAAACAGCAGGTCGTCACTCCATCTAATTGGGGGTCGCCCTACACTTCGCCTACCGGTACCAGGAAGCCACTCGAGAACTTTTTTCCCCATCGTTTGTCGGTTCTTCGAGCTGTATGGCCGGCCCATTGCCACTTCAGCTTACTAATCCGTTGGGCTATGTCGGTCACTCTGGTTCTACTGCGGATATCCTCATTTCTAAGTAACTTTTTTACCTATGTTTTACAAATAAATTAATTTGAATTTAAGTTTTAGTCCTCTCCATAGCTCTCTGAGCGTCCTTTTACGGCCTGCAGTGAAAGACTACGTCTTAGATCCATAAGTCATCACTGGCAACATGCACTGGTTGTACAACAGAATGAAAGACTTTCTCATAGTCCACATATGCAAGGCAATGTGGCAGATTGTACTCTTCTGTCTTCTGTACAATTTGCCGAAGGGTGTGTATGTGGTCCGTGGTACTAAAGCCTCTTCGGAAACCGGCTTGTTCGGGAGACTGGAAGTCGTAGAGTCTGCGTGCGAGACGATTCGTAATGACACTCGAAAACAGCACGTAGACGTAGCTCAGAAGGGAAATCGGTATGTAGTTATTCAAGAGAACATTGTCACCTTTCTTGAAGAACAAGATCACCGCACGCCTCCGGAGTAGTCCCAACGTGGAGGATGGAATTAAAGAGCTTCTGAAGGACTTCAAGTACCGGTTTTCCACCCGCTTTCAGAAGCTCCGCTGTAATTCCATCCTCACCTGGGGCCTTGACGTTTTTAAGGTGCTGGCAAGCCATTCTAATCTCGCTCAGACTGACATCCGGGATACCATCGGAATGGTGTCGGATAAGACTCGCTCTTGGATCGTTACTCATACTTGCGTGTGCCAACGATGACGTGTACAGCTGCCAGTAGAACCTGTCAATCTCACTCAAAATCTCAGGTGTCCCGGAAACGATGCTGCCACACTCGGTCTTCAGCTTTGACAGTTTGTTCTTTTTTACAGATAGATCTCTGGCAAATACTCTTGGATCCGCTCGATCACTTCTTCAATACAAGCTGTATTAAAGTTGCGTAAGTCCCGCGGCATGCATTTGGAGATCTATTTGTTCAGTTGCCTGCATGCTGTCAAATCTGTTGAAGACTGCAGCTTCATTTCCCGTCTAACAGCCATGAGATAAACAGTGTGATCGGAGAGGTTTTGTGTTCTTCTGCGGCGGGTCTTGCAGAACTTAGCTCCGACCTGATGGACAGTTTCCACGAGCTTATCATTCATATCATCCACTTCATTACAGTCTTCTTGGCACTGAAAACGGTTTTGTAACTCGAGCTGAAAGGTTTCGGGACTTTGGATTAGAGCACGAGGGGGACGGAGCGTTGACTTCATTAGACGAGACCTCTCAAACTTAACGTTTAAGTTCAGTGTGCCTCTAACCATTCGGTGATCGCTACCAGTTTTCACCTTCGCGATCACTGACACATCACTGAACAGTTGTAGTCTGGTCGTCATACTGAAGTCAATCTCATTTTTTGTCGAACTGTCGGGGCTCGACCAGGTCCACTTCCTGTGGGGCCGCTTCGGGAAGATGGAGTTCATCAAAGAGTCCCTCTTTCTCCATGAAGTCGGCCAGATGAGGGCCCCTTGGGTTCTGTTGCCCTATTCCAAATTTCCCCACCTTGGGTTTTGGAGGAATGCATGGCTTTAGAGATATCCTCATACATTTCCTCCACCTCCTCATCGGGATGTGCCGAAGTTGGTGCGTTAACCTGTATGACATTCAACGAATACCGTTTGGTGATTCTGAGTATACTCAGGTATGCAACCTCGTTGACACTCACAATCTTTATAACGTTGTTAACAAGAGACTTGTGGACGATAAATTAGACACCTCCTTGAGATAGATGGTCGCCCTCCTGGTGATAGAACAAGTTGCCGGATTCGAGGATGTCCGTGTCCTCCCCCTCTTCGGACCTTCGGATCTCGGATAATCCTATAATATGCCAGCGCAACTTGTCTCCCTTCTTCCAACTCCAGGATCTTCTCATAAGTCCTCACGGTGCGTGCGTTGTATGTTGTCAGGTCGAGTCGTCTTAGGTGGCAACCGAACCTCTACCGGAGATTCTTAGCACCCCCTGCACCGCCGTTATTATGGTCGCCACCGTAGCCAAGAATAGGGGGGCCGCCGGGGCCTGGGGGCCGTCTCTTCGTAAATTTCATCATGGGAGGATATTTGCCATAGTAGCCACGCTTGGCGAGCGGGTTGGCAAACGAAGTTTTTTTTATTGTATTATTGCTGTTATCAGAAAAATACTGTTGCCCATCTCCTGTTTTCCACTGTCGCCTCTTACGACACCCACGGGAAGAAATGGGGTAGTGGATATTCTTAACCGTCACAACACGGCTATGTTTTTATTATTACACGTTATTTTAAAAACAATTAAGAATGTTTTCCAATAACTAAACTTTTTACAGTTTAGAAATGTTAACGTAAGCTGCTCCTTACGCGTGACTTATCGGAAACTGCAAATTAAAATTCAAAAACAGCAGTCAATATCGTCATCCATTTTCTACACGTCTTCGTTCGTTCACGATCGTTGGTCGAATAGTTGAGACTTTTTGCGTCGCGTCAACGAATAAGTAGTACAGTATGTACATTTACGAATTTCGTTTTAAAACGTCTCATTATTTCATTTATTTCAACGAGTGCTATAATTCGTCTAACTATTTTCTGATTGATAGAGCGTAAACAGTTGACACGTTGAAAGAACATCACCGGTTGATTCAACGCCCATGCCTACTGGAAACAAGGTATGTATTCCTTCTTATTCCTCAGGGATATATATATATATATATATATATATAAAATTTAAAAAACAAAAACTATTATTGCATATAATCCATTTATTATATATTACATTTTTTTCATATATTACATCCATTTCTCTCCCACACCAAGCTTTACATAATGTTTTTGTATGAATTACACCATAATGATGACAGTTGTATTTTATTGGACTAAGGACTGAAATTTAATAGTCACATTATTTAGACATCAAAAAAATTATAGCTTGACTGAATATAAAATGAAACTATTTAATTCATAAATCTGTAATATTTAATTGTTTGTGATGTATTTTATCCTATGAATTACTTTTATTTGATGAGTGAAATATTTGCTCTAAATAATGTTTACTTCCTTCATAATAGAACTCCAATGGAATCCAAGGATTTTTTATTTCCAACTGTATATTATATTCTCTTTAATTTAAAAATATGCATTACAAATCTTTAAAGTAATATGATATATGTGATGCATAACTAAATCATAGGTTGGTCTATGTTGTTGTGGGAGGGACATAAGGCTTCAATAAATACTCAGAGAAAGCATTAACAGCGGCCGCCCCTCGTACTTCCTTTTCTAACAATGGAAGTTTTGTTACATGGAAGTCCTCATACAAATCTGCAATTTGCTCCAAATACTTCTCCTGCACTTTATGTCTGGCCGCGCAAAGTTCGCAAGGGGCAGAGGAGCGCAGCAACAGTTGATTAACAATTATATTGTGTGTGTCAATTCCGCAGCGTGTAAGTTCTTGAACAAGGCGTTCTGTTTCATATAATGACAGAAATTCCGCAATACAAACACAAACAAAAGTGGTCTGATTTGGATCTTTGAACTGAGCATTAACTTGCCTTATAATCGACAACATTTCATCCATTTTGTTGCTAAACATGTCAGAGTTAAATTCTGCAAGCCCAAATAAAGTTGCAACCTGGTTAATGAATGGAGCCACCTGAGAAAAGAAAAGATACTAAATGTCTTATTTCTGGAAATTTCAATTATTGAGAAAAAATTAGAACATGTCTATATTACCTTGGATTTCAAACGCATCAATTTCCCAAGACCTCTTTCAACAACTTGAGGAAATGAAAGAAGACGTAGTGTGTGCCCTGTTGGAGCAGTGTCAAAAACCACAGCACTAAAATTCATTCCCTTAACTAATTTCATCACCTAGAACAACAATAATTTCAAAGTATTAAAGTCCCATTAGCCATAGATTAGAATAGAATATTTTTTATTTATTGTAGATTACAATAATATTTATTGAAAGTCATTATGTTTTTACTACTGGTGTGGGAAAAACCAGCAGCGGAACTTCACAGATGTAGGCTCCACTTTTCAGAAAGTTAAAGGTGAAGTCAGTTTACTGAGGATATCAAATATACTAGACTTATTTATAAAGAAATCAAAACAGTGTTTATATAACTATTTCTTATTGGTTATTAACCATTTGGGGTACTCAGGTCAGGTGTGACTAACTACCTGACTGACTAACTGATTACCGAAGATAAGATCCTTTAAAAAGAAATACTTACTGAATTTTTACAGACTTACAAAGACACCAAGGTTTATTAAATTTCTACCCAGCAAAGTATATTGACACCCACAGTGAAAAACATCTAAACTCGAATTTTTAACTTTTTGTGTTACAATGCTATAGCTATGTAAAAAAACAATATTATGTTATTTTCTGTCCAGACAGTGTAACTGTCCTCGCCTTTCTGTTTTTAAAATATACAAAGTTAAAGTATTAAAAATGGACTAGAAAATTTGAATTTTCTAACGGAATCTTTGCACTAAATTTGCAATATAAAAATATCGTGAGAAACAAGTCATTAAATTACAATAAAATCGTGATTTTATTTACAACCTTTGTACAGGACAGGTAAACTTTGATTTTATTGCACAAATCTTGTATTTGTATTGTATGTTGTTGCATGGATTTTTAATTGGCATTATTGTTCGTGAATAAATGAACTAAGTTGAATTTTCCATGGTTAAATGCATTTTTAAACTTGTTTAAAAAGCGACGTTCTATATTTAACATGTATATCTTATTATGTACTAGCTGTTCCCCGCGACTTCGCCCGCGTGAAATGTAGTAGGATTGGTTTTGATGGGTTAAATTTTTTTCACGCGGAACCCTAATTACTTTTTTAAAATAATAGTAGCCTAAGTTACTCCTTACAAAATCAGCCATCTGTTAGTGAAAGCCCCATCAAAATCGGTCCAGCCATTTCAGAGATTAGCCGGGACAAACAGACAGACAGACAGAAAGAAAGAAATTTTAAAAATGGTTTTTTGGTTATAAGTACCGTTTATACTTTCACGTGCAATTGGTAAAAAGGCTGTTATTTTGACATTACAAACAGACACTTCAATTTTATTTATTTGTATAGATTAAAAAGAGGACTATCAGATAAATGTCCATGCACTCAAATTATCGTAATTAAAGTGGAAGATAATTGTGAAGAAAGAATAATTTTTCTTCATTTTCAGGCAGTAGTTTACTATTTTTCTTCTCGTAGACAATCCCAGTTTCAGTGAATAGACCCTTTGAAGAATAAACACTAGCCTTCCCGGCCGAATATTTTTTCCTAATATTCGTCTATTAGGCAAAAAGTCTGCAGAATAATCGTTATGTGGTGTGGCCGAATATACTATTCGTTGCAAATCCAGTTATTACCCCTGAGGACTAAGATGGAAATCTTGTTAAAATAAAAAGTTTTCCAGTTCTCTGCACTCACTATACAAACACAGCAGTGTTATGCTGCTGTTTCATGCTGGTATTCTGTGAAAAAGTGGCCCCAAGGCGACCCATTAGTTTAGAAGCTATAACTAGCTGCAGTGTGTCTGTACAACATAAAAGTTGTAGGAGTGATATCTAATCTTGAACAACATCTCACTACCTAGAATACCTATTATCTATCAATTTAATAATTAATGGTTAGTCGAAATTTAATAGATGAATAACAAAATAATTAATTTTACCTCCGCATAACTCATAGCCTCATCAATGCCAGGAAATGCACCCACTATCTCTTGCATGACCCCTTTACCAAGTCTCATGGCTTCAGTTTCACCTTCGAAATACTCTTCGGGCAATTCTGTTAATCCCACATTTGGATCAATTTCCATTGCAAATAAATTGTCAAAGCCTTTAACTTTGGTTGGAACCTGTAATTAATGTAGACAACATATTTTTAGTATTACCTATTTTATCTTAAATTTAATTGGGGTGCTGGGGCACACCAGGGAAGTTTTTTTTTTTTAATTGATTTTGATTACCTACAAATTTGAGCCTCCATGTATCTTGCTTTTATGCCATCTGCTACTAATTAATCACCCTATTGAGAACAGTCACGCTGTGTGGTTATGTCTACGAATGATGTGGGGTACCTCAGTACTCAAGTGTAGAGATACCATAAGTATTATTCTTTTCTTATGTATAATAGTTTTCCCGATTTATTTAATATAATAGTATATTTTTGATGCAATCCTTTATATTATTTTATTTTTATTATTGAAGATAAATATAAATATGTGAAAAAAGCTATGTTTAATCTATTTTTGTGGAGTTATGTAGATTTAGATGGCTGTCAGTTGAGGATTGAACAGCAAGGAAATTATTTCTTTAAACCACTAATCTCACGATGAAGAAGATAATGATGTGACAAATCAAAGGCATCTAAGATGGCTGTCAGTCAAGGATTAACCTTTTGACCGCCACGCCAAAAACGCATTACCGTGTCCTGTACGCCAAAGCGAAAAGTAAACAAAAATACCTACAAAAATTATAGTGCTGCCAAGAGTTGATATATCGATAACACAAAATAACTTGTTTTTGTTGGTTTTTTATGCAATAAATGACTCTTTATAATCTGGTATGTTTTATTTAATCTTGTGCTGTCTTCCACTCTTTATATATATGCATTTGTACATAAATAAAAAACAAACAATAACAATAAAATAGTAGTAAACCACAGCACTACTCTCCATCGTTCATTGACGATCCTGTGCAATTCTGGAAATATGTAAAGGAGAAGAAAAACAATAGAACGTACATAGATACATATATATATGAAAATACTGAAGTGACAGATCAAGCCGCAGCCGATGCCTTTGCTAAATATTTTGCGTCCGTTTTTCATGCAGAGAAACCCGTGCTAAACCCGGATACTGCTGCAAAAGCTGCATATGCACATATACATCGAGATGTGACCTCAGTTTCCATCACGACAGTTGATGAAAACGATCTGAAGGTAGTGAGACGCCTTAAGCCACGATCGGCTGGTGGGCCGGATGGCATTCCTGTCTTCTTAGTTAAGGACTGTATATCAGTCCTTGGGCGGCCTCTTCTGTATTTATATAATCTTTCATTGACCCAGTCAAGATATCCTGAGAGCTGGAAGCTATCTCGAGTCACTCCTGTTCCTAAAGGAGACGGAGGCACAAATGTTACTTCATTCAGACCTATAGCTGTCCTATCCGTTTTTGGTAAGATCTTTGAAGCAATTCTAAGTGATTCCATCAAATGCCAAATCGGTCAACAGTTGCATAATGGTCAACATGGGTTTCGTACAGCTCGCTCCACCGTCACCAACTTGGTCGCGCATGTAGACTATATCTGCTCACAAATGGATAAGCGAAGGCAAGTTGATGCGGCTTACTTTGACTTCCAGAAAGCCTTCGACCTTGTGGATAACGATGTACTATTGAAAAAGTTGGCGATTGTTGGATTCGAACCAAAGCTCCTCAATTTTTTTTCTTGTTACCTTAATAATCGACGTCAATATGTGAGGCTCAGTGGATATAACTCTGGAGACTACTTTACTAGGTCAGGAGTAAGTCAAGGTAGTACGTTAGGACCTTTGCTATTCGTGATATTTATCAACGATTTGCCAGATGTTGTTTTGACTGCAGAGTGTCTCCTATTTGCGGATGACCTGAAACTAACTCTGGGTATTGAAACTGAGGCTGATGCCGTGACATTACAAAGAGATATTGATGCTGTGTCTATATGGAGTCAAGAAAACCACCTTCCGTTCAATAATCTCAAATGTAAAATAATAACTTTCACGAGAAAATCACAGCCCATTATTTTTAATTATAAGTTGACTGACGATCCTTTGGAAAGAGTTAAAGAGATTAGGGACTTAGGATTACTATTAGATTGCAAATTAGATTTTCACACGCATATCAACAAAATTTGTAAGTCAGCGCATAAAATGTTAGGGTTTGTCATAAGGACTGCGTCACAGTTTGATAATACACGGGTCGCAAAAGTATTATATAATGCTTATGTGCGCAGTAAACTAGAGTACGGAGCTGTTATCTGGAATCCTTACGAAGAGAAATACGTTCTAATGATTGAAAAAATACAACGTAAATTTGCTCGATGGATATATAAGAAACAGTACGGATACTATCCCTACTTATACCCTTCCTTATTCGTGTCTGGTATGGTGGACATTGAAACTTTGAAACTTAGAAGGGCAGTGTCTCAAGTCATGCAATATCTGTCCATAATTCATAATAGGATTGATAGTCCCCAAATACTAGAGCGTGTCCGCATCTTGGTCCCTGGGAACGTGTCAGCAAACTCGCAGGGACAGGTGGCACCGCGGCGCCGCCCGAGACTGTTGGAGCCCCCCCGCGCACGTACCAAGCGCGCTCGTCAAGCGCCCACTAACCGCGCACTCCGCATTATTGGGGACATACTTGCACAGCACAACGAGCTAGACTTATTTGCCGATGGATTAGGACATTTGTATAAAAAATTTCAAATAATTTTAAATAAATTCTAGCCATCAAACTTACGTATATTGTTTTCATAATTAATTATTATAATTGCTGTTCTTATTTTTTTATTATTTTTATTATTATTATTGCTATTTTATTTTAATATTAATGTATTTATGGACTCAGATTGTATTTTTTATGATTTCTTTTCTATGATATTATTGATGTATTGTTAATTAGGATATTGTAAAATAATTTTGCTATTACCTATATAATGACGAGGATGTGTAATACCGAATTGTTAATCTTATAAGCGTTTTGGATGTGTCATCTGTTAGCTTGTAAGATGAAATGAAATAAATAAATAAATAAATAAAAAAATAAATAAAATCGTGATGACGGCACTGTCACGACTGGACGACAACGGCGTAGCTGACCTTCCTTTTTGAAACTTTCTTAGAGATGTAGCCGTGTCGCACGTTGTGTATCGATTTCGAAATCGATCTAACCAAAATATACAGACATCGAAACAAAATAATTTATGTGTCGAGGGAGACGTAGGCCAAGTGAAGCACAGAAGAAAAGTCTTACGCTCTTATGACAATGGGGGTTTGATATGATGCTGATGATGCCAGATGATTTTGAGATTGAGAAAGAAAATCCCACAACACAAAATGAAAAATTGATCTTCATACCTTAAGTAAAAAAAAAAACACATTTATTATTTGTAATTTTATATTATTAAAATAAAAAAGGTACATAATTATTCACTAATCAACAATTGTATATAATTATTCGCACTAGGTAAATATGTCAGAATCATTCATGTTGCACTGCACTACTTTTCCCGCTAATCACTTATGACGTCATCAGGATGTCGTCTATTCTTGACCACGGCGCACAGTGAACTGATTTTCGATGATGCGCTAAGGATGCGCCAGAGTTGAGATATTACATTTATTATGCGAAGATGATTTGAAAATATTTTTTTTTATTCATTCAGCTAATTATAGTTTTATGTTTCTAACCTTTTGTTTTATTCAAATATCAATAATAATAGAAAAAAAAATAACACGTTTGAGCTGAATTTTGGCTAGTTTTAAAGAAATGTATGCCTCCCGCACACGGCACTAGCGGTCAACTATAGAAGACTTTTATATTTATAGTATTTATAAATACTATAAATATAAAAGTCTTCTTTTATACTTATAGTATTTATATTATATTTATAGTATTTGCTTAGATAAAAATCCATTTTTTTTAGTTCAATATTCTTAGTACTTGTGGCTCTAGGAGACTTGTTTTTTGTACTCACATGTTGCTGGGTTATTCTTTTTTGAAGAGTGTGGAATTAAATTACCAGTAATAATTTTCCAATATCTATATTTAATATTTTTGTGGGCCGGGTTTTTTGTCAACTATAGACGTCGTTGGCGCTCAGGGCCCGCAGGTGCTGGTCAAGTATAGGCGACTTTGGCGGTCAAAAGGTTAAATGACAAGAAAATTATTTATTAGTTTTAACAGACTTCAAAAAAAGAGGAGATACTCAATTTGACTGTATGTTTTTTATGTGTGTTGCCTCAGAACTATTTTCTAGGTGATTTTTATGATTCTTTTTTTATTTAAAAATAGTGCTTCTCATGTAGTCCCATATAAATTTGATCAGGATCAGGCCAGTAATTTTTGAGTTATCCTTAAGGCGCAGGTTGAGCAAAATGTCGCGCTAGTCGTTATTTATGCGGTTTTTAGGAGCTATCTACTTTTTTTTTAAAGATATATCAACAAATAAAAAACACATTATATTTCTACATAATCTTGATTCCATAAGAGCTATATCCAATTTTTTTTAAAGGATAATATATTTATATAATCTCCTTACAACGAAACCACATAAATGTGAAATAATAATTGACAACATGCATCTCCTCGTAAAGTAAGTATTATTTTATTTTACGATTTACACCAATGGATAGGCAATTTATTAATGAACATTTCTATTATAATTTTTTTTCTCAAAAGACCAAAATTTGATTTTATTAAGAAATTATTTTAAAATCTGGCCGTATTCACTGCCCACGGGCTTGCTGGAGTCAGTGAGCGCTGAGCTCTTGAACGTGAAACCCGTGTCGTTAGTCAGAACAGAACGTTGGCCAGCGCACACGCTCACGTCATCTTATCAGTCGATAATATTATAATATTATTACTTATTAGGTTATTTATAGGTAGTATTATTCGTTTGTTTTATGTATAATTTTTCGTATTAGTTATACATATATTTGTTGTGTTTTTTACTGCGCGATGAAGCTTTTTGCGGGTATTTTTTTTTAAGTAAATGCAAATATAAAAATGAAGCACCATTAGCATGTAAGGTTTGGTTTGAATTTTATTTGGTCTGGTATCTGAGTTTAATTTGGTCTATGGTCATCTAATAAGGCCCGGTCGGGTAAGTCGGCCTATAGGCAACTAATTCGGCCTGGGCGTCTAAGTTGACCTATCTGCGGCATTGCGGGTTATTACTCGACTCTCTAACTAAACTGACCATTTATTTTTTAACTCAAAACGGGACATGGGTTTATTTATACTCTAAAAACTATAACTTTATACAATTAGTGTTCACTATAAAATTATATTCGGTATAGACAGTAATTATTAAATGCAACATATTTTTTTAAATTATTAATTACATTTGTCAGTGGATTAAATTTGCTTTAATAAAGTTGGTGATGATTTATATAAGAATAAAATTCTGAGCAAGTTTTTTTTAATGTTACCTTTGTTAACAACATCGCCTTTAGAACTGGAACCGTAAGTGTTTTTTTCAGACGTACACAATTTATTCAAAATAGAAAAATACTCTTTCTACTGGAGCATTAGTTTGTGGTAGACATAAAATATATTCGATTAAAAAAATTATGTTGAAGATTGTTGGCTTTGAATACTTCCATCCAACAAGTTACGTGACAATTTTGTGTCCCGGAGCTTTATTTGGGGACAATGGGACAGGTGACCGAGAAAAGGGACAGTCCCGTTCAAAACAGGACGTATGGTCACTTTACCTATAACCCGGCGACGGCTCCGTCGCGCAGTATTATTGTGCTGGGGGCCGCGGGTTCGAATCCCGCACGGAACAAGTATTTGTAAGGCCTACAAATAATTGTTCCGGGTCTGGATGTTTGTCCTTGTGCAATTTATGTTTGTAAACTGCTTCCACGACTCTCATTCTATATTACTCTCACTCTGCGAAACATCCTATTTATTTATTTATTCTTTATTGCACCAAATATTTGTACAAAAGGCGAGCTATCTATCTATTTACCTATAGTGAGTAGGTATCTTTTAAACTCACAATTTTCAATGCTTCATTTTTAATATATAATTAATTATAAAATTTCATAATTAGATAATATATGAGAATACATAATTCTAATATAATGCAACTAATATTCGGAATAAAAAAATTAAAATACATTTATCGTTGTCCGCTATGTGTATTTCCATAAAATAGTTTATTGATGTTGAAAAAATACTACGTTCGTACAGTAGGTGGCGTCTTACATATTTCTTACGCGATATATTGTAGCGAGTCGTACGCGGCACACCAAATGCTCAAGGTCGTTCGCATGGAGTAGCCCCTTAATAATGCATATTTAATTGACTTCAACTATATTGATGATATTCTCATTTTATTTATATTGATGATGTCGGTTGTACAAAATTTTTAATTTTATCACTTGTTTCTTTATAAAAACCTACTAATCTGATGATGAAGAAGATAATGATATGACCAATCATAGATTCTGATGATGAACTTGATGGTCTTATGTAAAATTTTTGCATAGAGGCAGCCAATGATGGCATGAACAATGATTGCGTATTAGATACCAATGCAGTAGCAACTACAGATACGACCTTTGATGCATGAAGTCATAGCAGTGATGATGAAACTTTCCAAGAATTTAACTTAAGTTTAAAAAATGTAAGAAAAACTTTTGGAAGAGCTAATAGTTATTTTTAAAGAAAGAAAGAACAACACATGTAAATGAAGATGGTGTTGTGAGCAATCTACTAGCTGTTTGCTGCAGCTTTTACCCAAGAAATAAGGACAGAAAAAATGTAAGATGATGTGCCATAAGCATAAACTACCAATTAACTATCAATCGTTGGGAGAACCAGGCGACAGTCTGTGAACAATCCTCACATTAATATTATTAAATGTTTACAAGGGTGACACTGAAAGTTCTTAGAAAATCAAAAACTGAACAAACTAGCAAGCTGTTAGTTTTATGATATCTTTTCAAAATAGTGTCCATACATCACTGCATCTGATGAAACCACTGAGAAAAGCACTTTGGTCACTCTTCCTTAGGGGTCTCTTCGACGGCATTTTGAAAGGCAGCCACTACATCCTCAGCATCCATAAAACGTTTTCCTAGAAGTTATTCTTTTATTTTCGGAAATAAATAAAAATCGCAAGGTACGAGGTAGAGGCTATAGGGCAGGTGACCCAGTAATTCCATGTATGACGTCGTCAACTAGACGATTGTTTGCTTGGCGGTGTGCGACGAGGTGTTGTTGTGGTGAAGGAGGATCCTACTGCGAGGTTGTTTCTCTCATACTTTTTCCAAGCCAAGTGGCAAGCAAGTGTTAGTGTACCACCCTGCAATAACTGTTTTTCGATCCTCTAAAACTATTGTTGCGTAATGACCTGTCCTTCCAAAGAACGAAGCCACCATCTTTATTTCCATGCTTCGATCTCTCTTCACTTTAGATGGCAGCTCCTCAGAAGAAAACACCCAGACAGCAGACTGTCACTTAGTTTCAGGATCATAACAATAAATCCAGCTTTCATCAACCGTGAGGATGTTGAACACAGCATTTGAGTCACCTACTTTAACTCTTTGAACCATTTCACGACACCACTCAACACGACGAAGTTTTTGGCCCTCTGTCAAATTATGAGGTATCCACTGGGCACAAAGCTTCCCGACCGCTAAATGTCCACGAAGGATTTTGTGTACTTGACTCATACCGATGCCTAAGCTTGTCCGAATCTGCTGATAAGTCACTCTTTTGTCAGTCCCTATCCAATGACACAAAACACTCATGTTATCTTCAGTCGTCGCCGTAGAAGGCCGTCTCTCACGCAGATCATTGGTGAGATTAGTGCGACCATGTTTAAACTCATTAAATAAATTGTACACGAGGTGGGGCTTTATCGTGAAAGGCCAATCGAAGTTTATCGTAACTTTTTTGTTGCCTTAAATGACATCGAAAGTCATAAAATATCATTGTACAAAATTTTTCGGCTTAGCTTTCCATTGACGTCAGTCGAGTTTGGTGTTGATACGTATTTTTACAGAAAAGTTACACTATTATAAGCACACACACAAAGTTTCAGCCTCCGCCTGCTGTAACAAATCCTAGCTGCTTAGGCGAGGAGGGATGCCTGCGATTTGTTACGCTAAGGCGTAGAGGCTGCTCTTCCCGCAGCGCCGGAGACGTAGCAGTCTCAAAATAGATACAGAAATCCTTCTGAGTCAGTCCCCTTATTTTTTTATGATGAAGGGGATTTTTTTTCTCATAAAATGGATTTATATTTACATTCTAAAAGCAAACATGAAATAAAATTTCGTTATTTTAGAAATCGATTTTTTGGGAATCGACACATCAGCTTACAATTTGAATCTATTTAAAAAATCGATATTTTTCGGAAAGAATCGACATCCCTACTGACAATAATAATAAAAATGGCGTCAGTTTCACGGTAGGAATTGACTAAATATTGCAAAATTATTTGATTTACAATATTTTTTTCTCAATAAGTACGTGTTTCCGCATATTGAAACTTTGTGTGTGTGCTTAAAAAATGTAATCTTTCTGTAAAAATATGTATCAACACCAAACTCGACTGAAGGCAATGGAAAGTCTTTCCAATTTTTCTCTTGTTAAATTCATGTTGATGTGACACAGACAATTTTCAATTTGCCGCCAAATCGTAAACAAATGACAAAACAATAAAATACATACACAATAATATTGGCAGAGTTCCATTTTCAAAATTTTAACTTATTGTTTTATTATATTGTTTATTATTGACTAGTTCTAAAAACTTTCAGTGTCACTCTCCTATTTTGACTGACTTGTTAATTTGGGTTCTTACTATTTCATAATAAATAAATAGTTTCAGTAACTGGTTCATATTTTTAAAGATTGTAAGTATTATAGTTTAAGGTATCATAGCCCCTTGTGTGTAGGTACACCAGTCAGTGTAAGGTTCTAGGTTTGATAATACAAATGATTGAATCATATTTGACAAATTCCAAAAATAGATGGTGCATTAATATTATCTATTAATACCTTAGAAAACTTCTGATCAAATGCATCAGAGATGTTATGAGCCGGATCCGTAGAAATAATTAACACCGACTCTCGAACCTTCGACAATTGAACTGCAAGGCTGCAACTGTAATCACAAATAATAATTGATATGCTTTTATTAAATATAGCCATTCAGCTGGGAAACGCAGCCAGCGTTCTTGGCACGATACCGCGGGGAGTAGGACTCTATGATAAAGTTACTAGTTTTTTTTTTCATTATAGTTTTAAATATTGTATATTTATATTATATCATAAATTAAATTTTGTGAAATATTTTCTAACACTAAAAAAAATTAAACAATACTTTTCTATTGAATAATTAAAATATGGTTACGCTGAGTAGTCACTTGCCTGCATGTCGTTTTTCCTACACCACCTTTACCACCAACAAATATCCACCGAAGTGATTTCTGTTCAATCACATTACGAAGGGAAGGTTCCAAAGGCTCAAAATCTGTATTATCTTCCATATCTATAAAGATTAACGTTTTCAAAATTATTCTCTTTTCAATTTCGATAAGAAAATAAGCATCTCTGAAAAAAAACCAAACCAAAATGACAGATATTCTTTTTATAACTGGCTTTACGGCTCTGGGTTCTAGTTTTTATCTTTCATAGTACACTGCTTCACAATATGTTGATGCGTCACATTGTGCAGCTCTTGGGAGATTTTGACGGCATATTGAGCCAGCAGACAGCTGACAGTTAGCGATGGTATCTCAAGGCGCCTAAGCAGAAAGACACCTTATCTTGAGAATTACATCACTATCAGAGCACTTGTTTCACCGTATACCGTTCACATGCGCAGACACTTAATACACAAAATCGCACCACGTACGTACGTATCAAAATCCACTTCAAACCATTATTTAAACAATAATACAGGAGCAGCAAACCGCCGCTGGCTAGGGATGATCGATGATCATCGAACATCGATAATCATCCATGTCAAAAATAAAAACATCGATGTTGCCACATGTCAAACACCGACACATCGATGTCAATAAAGCCATAATCGATTATTGGTACTTGCCAACACCGCGAACTCGCGAAATCAATATCAACTAAATCTTGCATCTCGTCTAAAATATTTAAAATTTTGAATAATTCAGAATGCTTGAACGCAACGATAACCTAAAAATATATCATTGTGGTGTATCAAATTTAACTGTCAAGTGTCAATTGTAATGTCGCAGTTGTTACTTATTTCGTTCTGTCATTAGCGTCGTTGTTGGTTGTCTGTTTCTTTGTCGGTTGTTTTAAAAAAAATCCGATGGTTGATCTTAAACACGATCCAATGCACGTATAGAACAATGTTATTGGTTCTACCTAGCTAAAATAAAAATAAAAACTTGCGGTGAGATATTTCACCACAATCGCTCCATCAACGCTGTCTGAGCAGTTATCTACCGACTTCAAAAAGGACCGCTAGAATGTTGAATATTTCTTGTTGCAAAATAATGTATTATAATAAAAACGAATTTGTTGGCACTTTAAACAGTAGTAGAGCCACGCGGCAGCTTTTGCTGTCGCACGGATGGGCCGGCTCGAACCGGGGTGGTACCACGACCTCACAGAATACCAGCGTGAAGCAGAGGTTTACCTCTGCGTTTCGCTTGGTGAGTGCAGTTGGCCGGAGGCCCTTTTTACTGGAAATGAGGCATTCCATCTTAGTACTCACGGGTGATAACGCATCAACATTTTGATTTGTAACAGAGGATAGATGTAGATGTCTATGGGCCGCAGCAACCACTTACCATCAGGTGGACTGTGTGCTCGTTTGTCTCCCTTATCCTATAAAAAAATATTTATTTTAATATAACAGATACATATATGTTTTAATAATATTTTATAATAGAATGTCGAAAAAAGCGTTGAGCCTGCAATTGTGTTGTCAAAAGTCAAGAAAACTGTATGTTCTTTTTTTTAATGTGTGTTACCTCATAACTTTTTGCTGGGTGAAACGATTTCGATGATTATTTTGTTTATTTGAAAGCTGGTGCTTCGTCATGTGGTCCCATATAAATTTGACCCATATAAGTCTGACCAATAGTTTTTAAATTATCCTTAATTATTTAAATTGAAGTCAGTTGTACAAAATTTTTCTTTTTAAAGTATTTTCAATAGAGGCCCAATTCCCCCCCCCCCCATCACGCCGTCCACTATTTCGAGACGGCGAAGCCGGCCTTGCTCTTTCCGACCGAGACGTAGGTTTCCTCTCCAACTGATATTTCGTATCTCTCCTACCCGGGGTACAAATTGGAGCACTCCTTTGTGCCTCGGGCTGGAGTTTGCGTGTATGTCAGAGAGGACATCTGTTCTCGACGCCTCGGCAGTCTTGAAGTTTCGGATCTGGCCAACCTTTGGCTACGCGTAGACAGCGACGACCATCCGTGCGTCTACGGGTGCCTCTATAGGTCCCATAGCGGTAATGCCGAAACAGACCGACTCATCGACCACGTCCAAATAGCTACAGATTCCTTGCTACAACAGGTCCCATTCACAAAGATCGTGATCCTTGGCGATTTTAACGCCCACCATGCCGAATGGCTTGGTTCACGTTTAACCGATCATGCGGCGAGATCTGTTTATGACTTTGCCTTGGCATATGGTCTGACACAACTGGTTACTTCGCCTACGCGGATTCCAGATGTGGAGGATCATACACCTTCCCTGTTGGACCTTCTGCTGACCTCTCATCCGGACGGATATCAGGTTTCCGTCGATACCCCTCTCGGCTCTTCGGACCATTGTCTGATCCGGAGTATGGTTCCTTTCACGTTCCCTTCGCGGTTGCGTTCTACAGGTTGCCACCGTGTTTGGCATTACAGGTCGGCGGATTGGGACGGAATGCGGTCTTTCTTTGCATCCTACCCATGGGGGCGGGTTTGCTTCTCGCCGGATGATCCCAGCGCTGTTGCTGACTCTGTCACTGATGTGGTGCTACAGGAAATGGAACTATTTATTCCATCATCTGTGGTACCCATCGGAGGCAGATCTCAGCCTTGGTTTGGTCGCTCCTGTAAGACTGCATTACGCAGTAAGCAGGAGTGTTATCAAGCCTGGGCTGCTGCTTCGGCGACGCGGGATGTAAACACCAGCACACTTAAAAAGAAGTATAACTTCGCCTCCAGGTCCTTCAAAACAGTTATTGCCAAGGCAAAGTCAGAGCACCTAGGCAGAATTGGCGAGAAACTAGTTCGCCTTCCTTCGGGAACACGTGCATTCTGGTCTCTCGCCAAGGCTGTCCAAGGGAATTTCTGTAAGCCATCACTACTCTCTGCACAGGGAGGACGACTCACTGGCCCAAGACGCAAAAGACAAAGCCGACCTTTTAGGCTCCCTTTTAGCGTCCAACTCGACTCTTGATGACGGGGGGAAAACACCGCCGACCATCCCGCGGTGTGAGTGCTCCATACCGGATGTGTTGTTCTCACAGTGCTTGGTTCGCAAAGCACTTCTCTCCATGGACATCCAGAAGTCGAATGGGCCTGACGGAATCCCCACAATTGTGCTGAGGACGTGTGCTCCGGAGTTGGAGTAGTTTTAAAAAGGAGTTCCTTCCGTTGTGCCCAATATCACCGGAAATTGCAAATATTTTATACGAAATAATGAGTAGAAATTCTGATAACTACCCTACATACACAGACTTTGCTTGTCACTCGTTACTTCGTTTAGGTATTGTACGGGGGCTCATCGATAAGTTAGTATCTACAGTTGTAATACGCAGGATGACTGATCCATAAATACGAGCAGCCGCCACGAATGCTATGCAATTACCTGACCAGCTAGTCGAATTTCTCTCTATCTATATAAAACTTATTAAAAGTAAAAATAATAATAGTTGACCTGCATTGTCTCAAAGTACAACCTTTTCCAAAAATAAATCCGTCTCAAATTTAAATCCGCAGAAAAGACATTTCACGACGGACGATGCTTTTTATGTGGCCAGTTAGGACACAGACAGTCTAATTGTAATAAAAAAAAACTTAAGGTTGAAAAAGGTGAAGGCCACTGTAATGCCTCCCGTAGTGAAAGTTCAAAGCCTGTTTTTGTGCCAACTAAGCCTGAAATATGTTCTTTATGTAAAAAGGTGGGCCATAAAATTAAAACGTGCTTTGTGAAGCATAAGTCAGAGTTACGTAATAAAAATGAAATAAACTTTTTTCGTGAAAATCAAAATACCCGCAGTAGTGATGCTGTGGTAGCCGTTATTCAAGAAGTGCCATTTTAATTGACAGCGGGTCAACTATATCGCTTATTTCGTCATCCTTGTTGAAACATTTTGATAGATCACGTAAGCCAACGTATCGACTGTTAAAGGGACTGGGAAGTCAGGAACTCGAAAGCACGTTGTACGTAACTTTACCAATCGAGTTCGATGGTTTAATCCTCAAAGTAGATTTTTTGTGGTAGCTTCCGAGTTCATGAATTCTCCGATGACAGTGGGCATGGATGTTCTTAACAGGAAAGGCTTTCGATATGTTCGTACGCGTGATTTTCAGTCACTTGTGAGCGAAACGAGTAAGTCAAGTAGCGTGATGACTGTTCTGTCAGAACCGTCTATCCCTGTTAAGAAACCTCTTGTTGGTAATAATTTGCAGCAGTTACTCGATGAATTTGCAGAGTATTTCATATCGGGAACTGCGACGTCTACTGTAAAAATAAGTAGCATGTCAATTAAATTAAGCAACTATACTCCAATTAACTATAGACCATACCGTCTTGCTTTTGCTGAGATCCTTCGCGTTCGGGACATAATTAAAAATTTGTTAGAAAAAAAGATTATCCAAGAATCAGAGTCCGAATAAACGAGTCCCATCCTTCTGGTTAAAAAGAAAGACGGATCGGACCGCAGATTTCCGTAAACTCAATGAAGTTACCGTAAAGGATCGGATCCCGTTCCGAGGATCGATGATCACATTGATCGATTAGGACAAAATAAGTTTTTTACAAGCCTTGATATGGCAACGGGATTACACCAGATCCCGCTAGAAAAAGAATCGTTCCCACTTACGGGGTTTGTCACGCCCGAGGGGCACTATGAATTCTTAAGATGCCTTACGGTTTGGCCAATTTACCGATTGTATATCAACGTATTATAACAAAAACCCTTCGTGAATTTATTGAATCTGGTGACATCCTGGTTGACGACATTTTGATTTTGAGTAAAACCATACTCGTAAAACAAGGTGAGTTTAATCGATTTCAAATTTTAAAAGCTTAGATATTTTGCATTACGTTTATTTCGAACTTAGAACACTTCTTCGAAAATAAGCAGTTAATATAAGCGCTTACAATTTTTTTATAGATGATTGAATTATCACTTATGTCTCAATTTTTTCTAATCCATGCTGCCCTAATTGTTTTTACAATGAAAAAAATAATCTGCCGAATAATATTCGCTTTTCCTAGATCTTTTTTTTCGAATTTCTTAAAGTTGTTAGTTGTATAGTTTTTCATTGTTACA